GATGTTTGTGGTGATTCAAGTTACTTTGATATTTGGGAAGGTTTAGAGTATAGGATTTTTCCTGAGCAAAGGCTATATATTCTCGAATGTAGAAGGAGAACTGGATACATCTTTGGAGGAGGGGCAATGTTCATTCATATAATTGTCCATGAATCCAAGTGGCCTCATTCATAAAAAACTCAGAGCATCCGGGTATCTGGGCCCATAAAGCATTTTGAAACCTTTAGACCCTAATGATTTAAATAATGGCTATAAAAGTGTTCATAATGGGTCGTTTATTTAGCTAAAAACAAAGTTAAACGCTGATATACAAACGTCTCTTTCTGTAAGTCAATTGGAAAAGTATTTTTGGGCCAAAATGGGAAGTTAATTTAGATTTTTGTTTTATATTCGCTGATTTCAACACAGCTTTTACCAAAAGTTGCGGGATCCATTGATGTGACTGACGTGGAAGTTGTAGTACCACTGTTTGGCCACTAGGGAAATTTGCTTCAAAGGCCAGCGCACTTAATTGCAACATTTTGTCAGGTGTTAAACTGTTTATTTTACCAAGTTGGAAAAAATAAAAGCAAGCCAAAGCAGATGAGCACTGTTATATAACCGTTACAGTTATAGCCCAGACAATAACGGATTTTCGTTTACATAATAATTCATGCTTGGCATATATCTTTGGCATTTTTGTTCTGCAAATGTTTTTTACATATCAGCTAATATAAGTACTGATACTGATATAAATCGTAATAAAATTGGAAACATTGCACACTGTCTGAACACCGACTTAGTTTAAAGTAGTTGGAACCCACAGAGACACATTTTAATGGCTAGCAGTTCTGACTCAAAATGTCTTATCTTGCAATGTTAGTAAAAAATAAAATCTGGTAATTTTCAATCTACCTTGGACAATGCCAAACTCTTCCACTTAAGTTTCATAACATTCTAAAAAAGTAATGGCTAGAACCAATGATGATCATACTGTAGGATTAGACCAGCTCACTGAGTTTTGGTTACTCATGAAGAGGCAATTAACATTGCATCTAATAGAGTAAAGTTAATCATTCTATTTACAGAGATATTTATCTGTAACTCTTTTACCAACTACCTCACATGACTTCATGCAACCGCCGCAATGTTATTCACTGCAATTTTGATCTACTTAATTATGACCACAGTTTTCTTTGGAAAAAAAATGACACTCAAAGGTGAGAACACATGCAGAGGAAAAGTTGATTTAAATTTAGTCAAAACACAGCCAAAAACTGCTAAGCACCACACCAACACAAATTGTATAATTAACTATTATTATTTGCAGATTTATGACCTGGCTTAAACAGAAAGCCCTAGACTTAGGTCACAGTGTACTTCATTCAAGGCTTGGAAAGGTTTTGAAAGGCCGGGTCGCTGAAGCCTCCAGTCCAACAGAATCAACACCAGACGCTGTCAACCATACAAAGCAGACACAGCTGCTCCTATCTAGCTGATTTCCTAATTCCCCCATGATTATACACACAAACACACAATAAGAAATCCAGGCACGCACACATTACACAGTCAATCTTTTACACATGTGCATGACAAGGTGCACATACAGTGTAGTAGTAATTTGACCTTAAAGTAAAAACAAATCAAATCAAATCCAACTGCCGCTCAGGTACCAGGTAGCGAATTTGAGGCAGGGATTAAGTCCAATTTCCAGTCAATACAATTGTTACGTGATGTTTATTCTTTTTCCAACGATGAAATTATGTAAACAACAACAGCTTAACCTCTTTTCTTTCCATGTGGCTTGCCCTGGTAAAAAAAAGATATGCCTTTCCGGCCCAATCCAAACTCCTACTGTCTATCATTAAATACCTTTTTACCAGTAGCTTAAAGCTGCCCTCAAATAAAATAAACAACTACTCAAAATAACTTAAAGACTAACTAAGGTTGTCAACGTTAACGCCATTAATCTGGAACCCCTAAAGCTGGCTACACACCAACCCGATTTTGGGAGTCAGAGGCCGTCAGAGGCAGTCGGGCATTCGCGGCGCCCTACTCAGGTTGGTGTGTCCCGCACCGTCGTCTCTTTACGGCACCTTTTCACACCTCCCGCGGGAGGTCAGAGAATGTCGGCCAAAGCAATCACTCTGATTGGCTGTTCACACTACCGCTGCCTACTGGTAAGGACAGTTATTGCCACTCGTCGACTGAAGTATTTGCGGTGTGTTCGTAGGCGGCGGCGTAGCCGACGTAGCTGACGTAAAAGTCGGAACGCCTTCGGTACGCGTTCTTTGGTCTCAGGTGGGTGTGTAGCGGCCTTTACACGTAGCAAAAAAAAAATACATGAATGCAATCTGATCATATTACGAAGTTTGACCCAAACTTCCCCCCATAATTCCAGTGCAGATTTATAATAACAATTGCATAGCAGTGAAAAGGCAGAGAAAGCGGAGGAATCGGCACACGCTAGATGTACTGTGCTGACCACAGACCTCTAGACCTCAGTTAGAACCATCACTACCTCTGTGGAACAGCAAATGCACTCATTCGCTTTGCGTGTGGTGAAGACTGAGAAAAGGCATTTCGCCTAAACAAAAGAATGACATTAAATAATGATCTAATATGAGCACAACGGATAACCACGGATAACCACACACACACACACACACACACACACACACACACACACACACACACACACACACACACACACACACACACACACACACACACACACACACACACACACACACACACACACACACACACACACACACACACACACACACACACACACACACACACACACACACACACACACACACACACACACACACACACACACACACACACACACACACACACACACACACACACACACACACACACACACACACACACACACACACACACACACACACACACACACACACACACACACACACACACACACACACACACACACACACACACACACACACACACACACACAACCACACCAACACACATCACACACACACACAACAAACACCACACACAACACAATTGAGGAGGTAAGACAGACTGGCGTCCAACTTGAACCTGTGGAGGCCTCTGAACAGAGAGAGTTGTTGGCTGACTGACACGGCCCCTGAAGCCTTTCAGCAGGTCCAGAGCCGGCCAGACAGACTGAGTGAGTGAGTGTGAGAGAGAAATGTGTCCTGTGTGTGATTACCTGTGCATGCAAGGCTGCACAGTTCAGATGTATGCTTTCAACGTGAAGTCAGTGTTGGAAAGAGGTAAAGACACACTCAAGCTGTTGATACTATTTTTCTTGGTGGGGGATCATTTGTGAACACTCATACACGGCTATAACCACAAATCCTCCAGGAAGCATGTTTTGACAGTAAAATAACCCTTAATCCACACGTCTGAATAGTCAGAATTGCATGAAACACATCATTATTAAAATGCAGTTGAGAGATTGATGTTTTCCTGATACAAGCTACTCCTTCCTGGAGTATGAGTCCAAGCGTAAGGGTCTACGAGGGCGCTGTGAGCTGTGAGCCGTGGGTAAACACCTTCAGCTCGCTCGCTGACCCAGTTGTAGCGAGGTGAAGAACAAGCATCCTCACCTTTTACCGGGGGCTTGTCTGGACTCGCCAGACAGAGGCACGGGGGGAAAGAAGAGGGCCAGGAACGGCTGCTTAACTGCTCGGTTATGAACTCTCTTACATGTTTTCCTTATTAGGCTGCATGTGAATAAGGAACACTGATGAAAGGATACATTAGTTAAGTTACTCAACAGTACTGAGCAAAGGGAAGGATGATTTAATGTTGGCTTTGTGATAGGGACTCTATTGAAGCAGCAACACCAAAATGAGGATCTAAAAAAATATAAAAATACTATATATGTGTTGAGATTGGAATTGTAAGAAATGAGAGGCCCTGATTTAGCCTATTTTGAATGAGCACCATTTAATGGCTGTTACAAGTAGAGATCACTACCAAACACCTTGTAAACGATACAAATGATCATGTTTGGGTTTTCTTAACTGAATTTATGTACGGAAGTTAACTACGATATCTAATGTACATAACTCCTAATAAGTCAATATTGATTTCTAGTTACATAGTTTTAAACCAGACACAAAGAGTTGTCTTCAGGGTAGAACCTGTGTCAGTTTGACTACCCATCATCCTTGACCTATGCAGACTTTGTTCCTCTTTAAACGACATCACCTGACTTCCTCATTTGCTTCTATCATAAGAACTACAACCAGTAAGAATCCCTACCTAGCTTTGAATCTCCCTGCAGAGATCCAGCTTACCAATAGGGAATAACGGCCTACTGAGCCAACTACGATGTAAACTAGAGCCATAGCATCAGATCTATGCAATCCATTGGCGGCTGGTAACGGCCATTTAATAGGCTGATAATAATCAAAGTGGATGCCTTGGGTTACACCTCTTTGGGGAAATAAGATTAATTATATTGACACATAAATTGCAAGGCTAGCAGAAAAACAGCATCAATAAGGAACAATGTCATGCCTGCCAAAAATGCCACAAAAGTTTTTTTATGTGTTCGAAAAGGTGGAAAACCCACCCCTATTTAAACATAACGCAGAACAATTGTCAACCTATGACGGCCGGTTTGATTCACCCAGGGGTTTAAACATCCACAAACAATGAACAATTTAAATATCCTATGTCCAGATGCAGCTCCTGTGTATTGATATTCTGATTTCTGTGTTCGTAGATAGATTTACAACATTTAGTGCCTCCTATTTTCATTGTGTGACCCGTTATCAGTTGGCTGTATGTGGTCATGTTTTATAGAATCTTGCAGTGCTGTTAACTTGTAGAGTAATATAGGCATATTTTCCGACCAACGTAACAATGTAAGAACGGAGCATAGACAAAGCCAGAGTCAATCATGACTGTTGCAGACGTGGGTTATGGGAACAAACGTACTTTTAAAAGAGGAAAAGATAGAGTAAGATGTGCACGAAGAGACCGGACAGTGACATGTGTCTTACCTGTAGGATGACAAAGGACCATGCTCTGCATCTATTCATGCATTCAGACTCAAACTCCTCACAGAAACAAGTGAACCTGTTGAGACACAAAGACAATATTTATTTGTCACATTGTCTTTCTTTCAGGGTACATTAGACTGAGACTTTCTACTATTGAAAAAAAGTATTTGACTGGAGTTAAAATCAGCTGCCTAGAAGCAATTATTAGAAAGCAAGACTTCTACAATGGGTAAATTTGTCTTTTAAAAATAGGAAAAAAATATTAAGAATGTTCCATGAAAATGGCAACAAGCAATGAAAATGTTCCAGCTACGCCTGCAAAACAAGCGATGGAAGAACAAATGGTTTTAATTGGTAGAGAAAGGATTAGAAAGACTGAGAATGTGTTCATAAGCAGCTCATCGGGACCTCCTGGTGACCTCATAGTGATGTGGCGGCAATGCACCAATAAAAAGGACACAAACATAAATACAAAACCTGCAATTATTTTTCCTCTACCCCTCTCTTTAAATACACTGACCCTCCAGCTAAAAGGCCACACCACTGCCGGTTCCCCTCAGTCCATCTATAAGGTCTGAGGAGGTCACTCAGAGGTGAAGATTACACACGGAACAAAACGTGTTGCAGCAGAGGGCTAAACGTGAGGATTTGACAGGCTTGAAGAAAAAGGAGATGTTTGATAAGAGCTGAAAGAACTAGACTATATCCTCCTGCCAGCGACGCCAGGCCAGGAAGGTACATGTATCCTAATAACAAGGTTATGATATGTCCTTGAGTATTTTAAACGGCTCTACAGAACAGAAGGCCATTCAAAGCCAACATATGGTCCACATCACCAATTACCAAGGTGTGCGTTGATAGGGAGAAGATGAAGAGAGTGGTAGCCACAGAGGGAGTTTAAATATGGACAGATGAGGAGGGACTTCTGGCCAATTTAGGGTAATGACCTCAGGTCAGAGGGACCTGGTTCACTTTACATAATGGCTCAAAGTTCTTTACCAGCCTCCTTGTCTGAAACAGTGGAAGTGTGGACAAATACATTATTCAAATGATAGTTTTTGTATATTTACACATGCTTTTGAGAGCCTGGTGAGGAAAATTAACTGCTCAAATCCTCAAATGGTTGCTCCAAAAAAGTAGTATGTAAAATAAACAAAAATGACTTTTTAAATCCCATTTAAAACCATGTCCCATGTTTCTGACTTCCTTCAGATATGACTTTCGGTCTCATACATAAATAAATCTGATTTTTTAACACTTCTGCATACACACCAATGTAAAAGAAAACTATTCAAGAGCAAACAATAAAGATTACTTTTAAAATAACCCTTGCCTTATCCATTGCTTGGCAAACATCCCTGTCTTAAGAGACGGGTGTGTGTGTTTTTTAAGGAACAAATGGTTTCTTACAGTAGAAAAACTAAATGTAGATATATCGATTTGTCATATATAGGATAGAATACTTGTGATAAAGTGCAGCCAATAGTAGACAGTGAAAAGCCATTAGGACGGGAAGATGACGGAAAAGTATTAAGTATGACAAAAGAAAGATACAAAATTAAATGAACTTTTGTTTGTATTTCAGAATAAAAAGTGCTATTATGGATTCTTTAATTTGTCATTGTTCCTCCAACTTTTGGTTTGACCTCTCCTAGTCAATTGGTTGAGACTAATTATTGGTTTTATTCTTAGTTGACTATCATCTTAGGTCATTTTGATGCTTTTTTTTTATGTTGAATAACCCAAGGAACTTAAAGGCGTATTTATGGTAAAAGTAACATTTGAAGTGAGGCTTATGAATAATCCTTTGTGGACAAACTGATCTCAGATCCGCGGGTAAAATGATCGATTAGTCGACAGATTTGCATCATGGTACAGACGGTTAAGTATGTCTTCTAGCCCTGCTACAAGCATGAGAGAACAGTGTGTTCGTGGAGAGACCCAGGACTCCCTCCAGATTTAGTCCCAGGAAGACCCCGATTGACCCTAATTAATTCGCACACAACCATCTCACAGACAATTCCCATCTACCCCAGGTCGCTGGTAGGCCCAGTCCAAGCATGCATGCACCAATTAATCCAATGGCTCGAGTCACAGTCTGCTCTCATTTCCAAAAAAGTCAATCAAATACTGGGAATTCAAGACCAGATTTTCCTCTTTACCTACAGAACAACTTTGAAGTGTTATGTTAGACACAAAGCTTTGGAAAAGCACTATCCCAGGAATTGGGCTGATATAGTACTCATTGGTTTCACAATAATAGCTTTAATCTAAAAAGAAGCTACTCCCCAAATTCCTACCTTTCCACAAGCTCCTTTTGAGCCTGTGAAGACACAAACAATCTGTTGATTCAGTGGCAGAATCCTTTTCCCTAAGCCGCTATTTGCTTTAGCGGCGATGACACAAGGGGAGGAATTTGAGCAATGCCTGAGTATCGTAGACTCATTTCCTCAGCGCGAGAGCCATCTCCAGACAGACAAGACTGCAGTGAAGTCTGGTTTATTCCTGCGCCTCCGGCTCCAGGTCAGCCAGTGTCCTGCAGACAAGTTTTAGACCAGTGTTTCGATACAAAGATACACACTATTTATTCTTAAAAAGGTAGCAAACATGTAATGGCTTGAAGCATTCCGACATGGGAATCAATCAGTCCTGAAACTTTATTTTCCAATGAACTCATAAAGACCAAACATAGATGAAAGCCCATCTCTCGTCAATTGTTTGTTTTGTCTGAATAACGAAATACAATCATTGACTATCAATGCGATAAATTCACGAGGAACTATTTTTGAGCACTCGGTAATCCCCGCTCTTTTATAATTTCCAAAGATTATTTTGTGTTATACTTCAAAAGAAATGACTGCCTGTCTATAGGATTCCAAAGAGATTACTGTCTCATTCTGCACAAATGGAAGTCTCTCCCAATTGTAAGGGATCAAAGTAGCCTCATAACTGCGCCGCTTTCAAGTAGAAAATGAAAAGCGTGAAAAGCCAGAGCACACTCTCTTTCCGACTGGATCAACTCAAACTCGCAGCCTTGAGAAAACTTTGCATGTTCAATAGGGGATCAATGCCAAGAATTATTGTGGCGATTTCCATTAATGCTCAGTCTCTCTTTCTTTCTAAGCCCTCTCTGATATTTTCCATTGGTAGGTCACTAATATGGCATGACTGTACATGCTAGTAATAAACTGTGTAGTTTCAACACACTGTAGGATGCCCTTTTTATACAAGGGCTCTAAAGTCAATGAAAATAGAAATTAAATGGGCTGTGCAAGCAGATTAGCAAATGTTGTGCTTCATGGATGCCAGCCAATAATCTTCTACCCGCCACTTTTGTCTTTTTTCAGCTGTTTGATTTAATGTCAGATATGTAAATTGCTTCTGAAAGTCACACAGGAGCTCATACGGGACCTGGTTGTTAAAAGCCAACGGAAAAAAAATGGCTGTATCAAATGACATAGGGATATCAACATGGGAGATCTCCGGTGATGAAAGAGGTGGTGTATGGGGAGATAGTCGTGAAGGCAACAGCAAGGCTAAAACAGGATATGGAATTATGGACTGAACAAATTAAATGATTAGAGGATGAGGTAGTTGGGGTTAAAAGGGATGACTGAACCTTGGAATCAAGTCAGCCTTTAGTTTTAATCCCATTACAAACTGTAACAGCCGCCTGACTGAACCTACCTTTTCAAGGCTTTCAGAAAACGTTGTCCTGTTAGCGGTAAATGTGTTTGTAGAGCCACATGCGCAGGCAAGCACCCATCCACCCACATCCACACCTGTCACCTCATTCTTTTGTGGGTGGATCATTCACTCCAGTGCTGCTCAAATATCTTACCCAGATAGAAGCAGCGTTTCAGAGATCACAAAAGAGCTGGAAATTGGGTGGTAGGCCTTAAAGATTTGACAACAATGGAATCGCCTTGAGGGCTTAGTCACAAGGAAATGAGTCATCTGATGTTATCGATGAATAAATGATTAATGATTTGCAAAGTTAACTCTAAAGCTTCTCATCCAAATCAGCTGCATGTTCTCAAGGATCGTATAGAATCTGTAATGTCTTCGACACCTGAGGAGAATTGGTCAAGGATATTTCCCTTTTGTTTATATTTCTGGTTTTCCTGTGAGATGACAAATGGGCATCAGAGCGGGCCGGAGCACACAACACGGCAGCCCTGCAGCTGTTCCTGTGTGCCTTAGCACTGTCACTGTTTGTGTTCCCAGGAGGAGCGGACAAAGCGCTTCCAGGTCGCCCGCTAACCTGCCTGCTCATTACCAAAGGTCATCCTGCTGGGACACAGAGCTGACCTCTCATGCCAAAGGGTACTTTGTGAGGAGGAGGATGGGGAAGAGGGGGGGGAGGATAGGGAGAGGAGTGAGGAAGGTGAGTGAGAGTTAAGAACAAATCACCCCTGATTTTTATTTAACCTCATCATCCATTATAGGATCTTCCGTGCATTGTCTAACCCTAACCCTACTTCCTTGAGGCCAAAATCAGCAAGTAAACCAATTAAGATTCTCCAAAATCTTCTATCACTTTCTCCTATTTCCAGGTTAAGTGGCATTTGGCACAGGGTTGAATGCCTATAGATGGCATTGCTCTTAGATCACAGCGAGCTCATTAGCTCTGGCCCGCTGTTGCGTTCACTCAAACCAGACCAAAGATGTGATAGGGTGGAAATTCAAAGAGGGTGGGAGGAGGGAGGGAATGCGAGGGAACAGATATGTTTCCTTGGATAAGGCAGAGCTTAATAATGACTTCCTGTATTTAGCCTGGAAAACAAACCAGAGAGGCACCATGGAAGATGGTGCGAACACAAGCGCTTTCCAAGAGTGCTGTAATGCCTTCAATGCAGTGTAATCCAACTCTAACGTTACGTATAGAAGACAGGAGTGTGACGGGTTAGGGTGTATGTTGGGGGGGTTACAACATCTGGATCTTGTAGTACGTGCCTCTGGAGGAATTGACAGTCTCTCAATTGAGCAACAACCCCCTCTCAGTCCATTCACGGTGCTCCTTTCCTCTTCTGTTTGTTTCCTCCTCCATCCTTTACCCCTGTCCTTCAGGACCAT